TTTGGCAGGTTTGCATCACCCCCCGCCCCCCCGCAGCCCTCCCCACCCACTCCTGTTACTTCTTGAAGAATTTCTTGTTGAGGAGGAAAATGAGCAGGTTGACATTGACCTTGGCCTTATCAAACATCTTCATGACAGCTACGCCCTCGTACTGCAGCTGCAGCAGGTCCTGTGGGAGAGGTGACCATCACCACCGCCAGCCCCATGTGTCCAGCCAGGGGAGGGGGCTTGTCCCACCCTCTGCACCCAGCTGCACCATCCCCCAGGGGAGAGGGGAGCCAGCACGGAGCTGGGTTCGCATCAGGACACGCAGCAGGGAGATGAACAGCGAGGCTGTCCCCAGCTCAGGCGGGGCTCCCCACGGGCTCCGATTCCCCCCCCAAAACCAGCCAGGTTGTGGGGGCACCGTCCAGCCCCTGCACTCCCCGGCTGCCCTGGCCCCGCTGGGGCACCGGCAGCCCCAGGACGGGCTCCCCACCTGGTAGTGCAGCTGGAACCGCTCCATGTCGACCCCCATGAATTTGGCTTTCACCTGGAACCTGCCCGATTCCTCGCAGGGGATGATGTCGAAAATCACATTCCTGAACCTGAAGGGAAGGAGCCGCTCGCTACCAAAAGGAGCTTCGTGGCTTTAATGCAACCAAGGAGCAGGTCACCCACCCAGCGCAACCCCCCCCTCAGGCACACACGAGGCCAGACCCACAGCCCAATCCCCCCCCCCTCCAAATCCCAGCTTTCCCATGTTCTCCTGGGTAATACCCGAAACAACTCACACCATCCTTGGGGGGGACGATGGTGGGCCCACGTGCACCCTCCTCCCGGACTATTTTCCTCTACCTGCCCAAGCTTTGGGCTGCAATAGCTCATCCCATGGACCAGGGGCTACGTACTGGCTGAGTGGCAAGTCCTCGATCTCCAGCAGCACCCCCTTCTCAAACAGCCGGGCCGCCGTGTAGTGCAGCGACTGCAGCTTCTTGTTCTTCCCGCTGACCCTTGAAGAGAAGGGACCACATGCTCAGAGCTGGTCTCCAGCCACACGCGACCCCTCGGAACCCCAACATCCAGATAGATTTTATAGAAAAAAGAATTTAATTGCCTTTTTTTTTTTTAATTATTGGGTTTTTGTAAGGAAACGTACTTGTTGCTGGCTGCCAGGTTGTCAAGGCAGGTCTTGATGTACTGGTTGTAATAATCAATTTGCTCCTCGTAAAACAAGGTCTTGGCGTTGAGGCCCTGCAGGGTCTGTCTCAGCTTCAGGAGCTCCCCTTTGCGGTGCTGCCGGTAACGCCTCTGGTTGCGGATGTCCTGGAGGAAACGAAGCCGTACAAGAAAGCCGATATAACTTGTTCTGAGCTTTATCGAAGCACCAGGGCGGGATCTCGAGCGGGTTTAGAGAGGTGGACCTCCCGACTCAGTGTCCCCCAGCACACCTTGGCCAGCTCGTCGATGAGTTCCTGGTACTGATGGGCAGAGTCCACGAGCCCCAGGCTCTCCAAGCGCCGCAGGTTGCGGATGATCTTGCGCTTCTTCTCCTCCATGGACAGCTGGCTGTTGGCAGCCAGGGAGCAGTTGCGTTTCAGCTTGGCAGGGGTCTGGGCGTCCCGCAGCGCTCGCCTGCGCATGAGATGGTCGTGGGAGGCTTCCTAGGGACGAGAAGGGAGTGAGCCTGGCGCACGGCTGGAATGGGACACGAGGAGATGGAAGAATCAAACCCCCCCACACACACACACACACTTTGATAGTCTCTCCTGGCCCAAAACACGTGCTTTCTCTGAAAAATGGAGCCCAGCCACTGCTGGAGCATAAGAGCAGTGGCCAAACCTTCGAGAGGAGCAGGGCAGCTCTTTTGCTGAGGATTTATTTGCCGTTTCCCCAAGAGGTTTTTTAGCTCATCCCCAGCAGCAGCCTCGCGCATCCCACCTCGTGCTCTGAGGCCAGTGTCCACAGGATCTCCGGGAGGGAATCTCCTGGCTGGGACTGGATCACATCCACCAGCATCTGCTTGGTGCTAGGGACCAGAGGGAGGGGTCAGGCGTCTGCTCCGGACCATCACCCTCCTCCACCAGAGCAGCATGTTATTTAGTTGCGTTCCAAGGCTTTCTTGCCCCCCTTGAGCATCCCAGCTGGCATCCCAACCCCCAGCAAGCTCCCCTGAAGCCCGCGGAGCCCATCCTCACCTCAGCAGCAAGCTCCTCGTGTCGCTCTCCTCGCTGCCGGCCGCCGGCACCAGCTTGCCAGTGAGGGTGAGGGAGATCTCCATTTTGCTGAGCTGGGAGAGCACCTGCTCAGCACTGCTGTCCGCCAGGCTGGGAACGCTCTCCCCTGTGAGGGCAGAGAGAGCCCGAGTAGCCACGTGGGGCTCAGGAGGGCTGGATTCCCCATGCCCAAAGCGATCCAGCTAGAGCTTCGTGCAAGAAAGCATCCCCATCTCCATCCTCCTCCTGCCAGGGTGGGTGGTGGGCCCCAGAGCTCTACCTACCAACAAGGGACTGGACCGTAGGAAGCTCATCAAGATCTTCCAGAAGCTCGTGCAGGGGGTCTCCGTGGTGTGGTGCGATGGAGTTCTGGTGCTCGAGCAGGAGCTGGATGATGCAAGGGAGGAGAGTCAGCGACAAAGGGGCACGCAAAGAACCAGGGAGCAAAGACCGGTTGGGAACGATGCAATGCCCTTTGTACCCGAGAGGGGACTGCAAAGTTATGAGGTTCAGGGAAGGACGAGCAGCGGAGAACCTACAGAATCTGGATTGTTTGCTTGGTTAAAAAGGAAGAAGAGGCCAGGAGGAGCTGTGCTGGTGGTTAGGATACAGAGGAGTGACGAAATGCAGCAGAAAGCCCAGGAGGTGGGAGCAGAAACGAAGCCTGCTTCTTTGCGGATGAGTTTTATGCCCTTACCTTGTGCGTGTTGATGAGCTCCCCCACTGTGATATAGATGACCGGTTTGGCCATCGCCACCATCTCTGAGTACTCGTCCACATTAAACCTCTCTTCTGGCTCAGGGACACAGCAGGCAGCAGAGATGAACCTCCTGCAGAGAAGGACCTCTCCAGTCAGCCCCAAAAACCCTGCCACCGACTGGTAGCCACCCTCCCACCCTGATGCCGTCCTGGTGCCCACCTGAACTTGTTGTGGGTGTCCTCCAGGTACTGGTTCACCCCACAGAGGTGCATGTTCTCCCCGTCGAAGGCCTTGCGGGCAGCCGCATGCTGCAGCACTTTGGCGATGGAGCCCAGGTTGCGGCGGTGGTCAGGATGCAAGGTGACCCCAGCCGAGATGTCCACGATGTCAAAGCCGTCAGGGGCCACCACTGCCGGGTTCATGAAGCGGTAGTAGAGGAGGTTCCCCACGATCTAGGGCACCGGACAGGCTGGGTGTTAGGGAGCACAGAGGCTGGTGCCCGGGGAGGCGGTAGCTCAGCAGGGAAGGTTGTTTCATCCTTGCGCTGCCCGGTGGGACCCTCCCACAGGGGACAGCAGCACAGAGAAGAGCCCACCGTTGGCATTTCCTCAGTGGCTCAAGGAAAACGTTGACTTGAAGGCGTTTTTAAGTCAAGAGGACTTGACCTTCTGTGGAGGGATACTGGCCCTTCACATGCACACGGTTGAACGCCACCAAGCCACACAGACCGCCCCCAGCCCTGGGGTACCTTGTCAATCTCCTCCTCCGAGGCCTTGGGGAATTTCTCAGCCAAGGATGTCCTCAGGATTCTGGCCACGTAGCGCATCCCATAGCTGAGGAGAGGGCAGGGAGAGGTCCGTCAGCATGCAGGGCAGCACCAGGCTCGGCCACCCTGCCCCATCCCTACTACCTATCACCCAGGAAGCAGCAAGCCCCCAGCCTTGGGGCGATGGAGGAGCCCATAGGAGGGCCTGGCAGCTGCAGCATCCCTCAGCTTCCTCCCCTACCCTGCTGCAAGCCCAGACATCCCTGGAGGAAGCCTTCATCCTCCGAGATTATCACAAAGCTCAGCTTCTTCCTTGCAGACACTTCAACACCAGTAGTAAAGCACTCAGAAATGGAGTGGCAAGAAGAGCCAGCCCACCGGGGCATTGCTGGAGGAGCAGAAGCAGCAGTGCCCACTGATATTTGGATTTCCCCTTGTTGACAGTGCAGTAACTCAGTCCTGCAGCAGCTAAGGGGCCAGGAAGCCCCCCACCACCCAACCTCCCTTTCTAAGGCCTTGCTGAAGCCGACAAGCTGTCGGCTTCAAGCCGACAGCGCTGCAGGGGTGTGCATACAAACCACTGAGATACATACGGGATCTTGTCTACAGAAGAGGTGATGGCAGAAACGAACTTGTCCGTCATTGCGAGGAGGTTGCGGATAGAAATATCCAGCCGCCTTTGGACCTCGGGGTGGCTGAGAGCCTGCTCAGGGCTGACCTCGTACGGGAGCTTGCTGTGGATGGAAGTCAAGGTCCCCATCACCATCCCGACACCCATCACCCTGTAATCGGGCTAAGCCTCCTTGCCCAGGGCCTGACCTTTTCTGCCCGCTCTGCGACTCAGTCTGGTTGATCCACGCCTTGTAGATGTCCACAGGGTTAGTGCGGATGCTGAGGGTCTTGTCCTGCAGGACCTCCTGCACCGGGCCACCCAGGATCTGCCGCAGGGCATTCTGCCCACGGGCGTTGCGGTAGAAGCTGACCACCAGCCGGATCACCGTGGCGTTCCCCGTCAAGATGTCATGGACATGGTCCACCTTGGACCTGGGGAGAGGGACGGGATGGATGAGATGAAGGGGATGGACCAGTGTGTTTGTTCTCCAACGCAGGAGGCAGCAGCCAGAGGAGATAACTGCATCCAAGCTGATGCCCTGGTTCAGCCTTTTCCCGGACCTGTCCCCAAACCGGGGCACCCACAGCCACCCACCTGATCTCCTCCTGCAGCGCTGCTTTGAAGAGCTGGAGCAGCAGGTAAGCCTCACGTGGGTTGGACGCATAGTTGTAAAGTGTAAAGATCACCGACTCCATGAACTTGGTGGACTTGTTCTGGGGCATCTGGAAGATCAGCCTGGCCAAGTACACAGGCTGTGTCTGCAGGGATGAGGAACACCAAGCTAACCCCAAGTGTCGTGGGGTGGCGGGGGGCCAGGGTCCCCGCACTGCTCCCCCAGCTGTGGTGGACACAGCAGAGCCCCACCAGCCCCACCTGCAGGAGGTAGAAGAGATGCTGGTAGGCCTCCAGCTTCTGCCGCTTCTCCCTGCTGAGCGACTTGAGCCCCTTCTGCTTGTCTATGGACATCATCTCTGAGAGCTGCTCCTTGTTCTTCTTGGTCAGCTTCTTGCAGTGGGAGACCACCTCCTGGAGCCACGTGGGCAAGGAGAGAGAACTGGTGACTGCCAGCAAGCTCTGGCATTCAGCCCAGCTTCTGGGGAAAGCGAGTCAGAGGCACCTCAATGCTCCCCAACCCCTTCAACCACTTTAAAAGCAAAGCGGAGTGAAGTTCAAGCTGTGATGCCAAGGAGGGGACGACCAGCTCTGCACTGGCTTGGGCACCACAGCAGAGCTGCAAGAGGTGGCCGAGGTCCTCCCCCTGCCACCGTGCTCCCCACCTGCAGCGTGATCCTGTTCTTGACCAGCAGCCCGATCTTGATATCCATGAGGTCCAGGTCACTCTCCAGTTGCCGGCTGGCACGGATCCTCTTCACCACCTCCTCCTGCAGCCGCAGCACCTGCGGGGGCGGCCCGCGGCCAGGGCCTGCAGCAGGCCGCGCCCCCGCCGTGAACGCCCACGGGGAAAACTGAGCAGCTGCTCCCACTGTGGACCCTCAGACCTCCAGCATCTCACCACGACACCCCATCCTCCTCCCCAAAAAAGAAGCACCTTCTTGCAACACCAGGACACAGGACAAGACGGTGCCACGCTCTGCAACACCTTCCCTGGGAAGCCTTCGGGAACAGAGGGGTAGCAAGAGCAGCCCCAGGGCTGCTCTAGCTGATGCCAAGGGACCACCAAGCCTCTGCCACTCTCGTGCCTGCTGTGGGGACACCGGTGGCCAGCCTCCCACCACCTCTCCACCGCGCAGGGCGAACAAGGGAGGCGGCAGAGTCGCCTTCCCAATTAATTATAGCCACTTCAGAGCAGAGACGAGCAGGCACTTACCCAGCATCCTGTAATCCCCACGGGCCTTGTTAGCTCGCACAAAAGCCTGGATTTTAATTACAGATTTGATCTGCCAAGACAAACAAGGGAGTGGGGGATGTTTCCCCACAGCATCCCTGAAACACGCGGGGAGTGGAGAGCTGGACGGGCACGCAGCCGCCTGCTCCCACCGCTGGGAATCTGCCGATGCCCGGGATGAGGGTGTCCACCACCCAGGAGGGATTTCAGGATTTCACCCTCCTTAGTGGTTGTTTCCCCTCCACTTGCTGTGTTTCACATGCTGCAGCAACTCCAGAGGCGCAGCTTCGCTTCCCACAGACAACACGCCCCTCTCCCCCAAAATTTCCTTCCCCTCTAATGGGCATCTTGAAGTCCTTATTGGTTTTTGATGGAACTGGAGTGGTTTTTCTCTCCTCACACTTTACAGCCTGATAGTTTGGCTTCCAGACCCACCAGGCACCTTTTCCTTCCCGTCTGTCCCCGTGCAAGGATGCACCAATTTCGCCCTCCAGCTGCGCCACAAGCACTCAGGGGCAGAGGCCCAACCACATGCTCGGGATCGTCCCCCTCAATCCCCCCAGACAGTGACACGCTCCCAGGAGCTGTTTTACTTCCCACCCCATCACTCACGTTCTGTCTGAAGTAGCGCAGCCTCTCCTGGTACTTTCTCCGAGCCTGCCACATCCTCACGCCTGCCTGGATCTGGGAGAGATGTTCAAACAGTTGGATACTGGAAGGACTCGCTTGGCCAAAGCAAGTGGGTGGAAAGAGGAGAAACCATGGAGATTTTTGCAGGACGTTCTACCCCAGCCCGAGCTCCCCCCATGCCCTCATACGCTGCCCAGCCGTGCCCTGGTCCAGCTGCCGTATGCCCCCCGGCTGCCTCTTTACTGGGCAGGGGGGAAACGCCACGCTCATTGCTGCTCTGCTTGCTGCCAAGCAAGCAGACAGCGATGCCCAATGTGGGAGCAAAGGGTGAAGGAAGAGTCTTCCAAACCTTTATTGCAGCGTATCTGTTGGCTTGCAGGTAGCGCAGCCTCTCCAGGTAAGCTCTGCGCTGCTTGTACCCTCTCCAACAAGCCTGGGCATGAGAAAAGACAACCAGCTACCGTGACCTGCACAAGGTCGCTGCGACGTCCGGTTGGTTTTTCAGAGAGCACACAAGAAGAGAGGATAACGCAGCACGGGAAAACAGAAGAAACCAGCACCCAAAGCGGCCGCTGTGAGAAAAACAAGCCCTGTACCACCCTCTGCAGTACCTCGGGTGAGTCCTGGCTATTAAACGTACAGAGCAGCAAGCACCGGCGCTCCCCGGACCTGCCAGAGGATGCTGCAAGCAGCCGCCCATGGTTTGCATCCCCCCCGCACAGAGAAGGGACAGATTCTGGCTACATCACCTGGATCCTGATGGCAGCCGGCCGCTGCTCCCGCAGGATGTGCCATCGTGCGGCGAACTCCCGGCGGCCGCAGCCGAGCCTGCAGCCTCACCACAAAGGTGACGTTGGATGCCCACAGGCACTCCCGGTCGTGCATCGCGGTCACTCGGGTGACAACCGACTGCGGGGACACGATGCACCAGCTCAGCCCCAGCGATGCCGCCAGCACCCACTGAGCCCCGTCCTCCCCGTACCTGGATCTCCTCCCGGCTCAGGTGCTCGGTGTTGAGGCCACCGTGGC